ATTTTGAGAATAAACCAGCATCTGCAAACTTAATTATAACCTGATATATCACTGATGTGTGTGCTAAAGATACAGAAGTCAAATGGGATTACAACTAGGTTGATCATTGGAAAAAGAGTATTGCCTGTGTGTGTGTGTGTGTGTGTGTGTGTTACACAGAAAAAAAAGTGAAGGAGATAGAGAGAGAGAGAGAGAGAGAGAGAGAGAGAGAGATAAAAAAAAATAGAAAGCAGCGAGAAGGCAAGAAGGCAACTGCAGGAGAGAGTGTAGCTATTTTGGGATTTGCCAATCAAGAAAACTGATTAAATCAGCAGAACGTTGTTCTTGCTGCATGTGTGTGTGTGTGTGTCTGTGTGTAATAGGTGTGTGTGTGTATGTGAGAGAGAAAGAGAATGGATGAGAAAGAGAGTGAGTTAGGAAGGTTGGTTCTACTTTATGATTTATCTTGAGCTGAGGTGCTGTTTGTGTCTGATATAGCGAACGACGGCAAGAAAGAGGTTGTATGACGTCAGCAGAAAGTCTGACGTCATCTATTTTGACACACACACACACACACATTCACACAATGAGTGTTTGTTTAAGGTCAGATGTAATATTTGTTGTCGCTAAAAGGGGTGAGTTCAGCTGCTAACGGTAGCTTGTCAGTACTGTATAGCTCATATGGGATTATTCGTTGTTTCACCACACAAATGTAGCCACTGTTGAGTTAATGTGTTGCACTGACACATACAGATCATGTTGTAGCTTATTTGTATTTAATGACAGTTTAACATTAGCAGTTAAAAATTAAGCAGACATTTGCATCTAGGTCCATGTCAGTGAGTGTCTGTTTTCAAGCCTCTTTTTTATTCATTGTTAATATTTTACCTGGCATGGAAGTAGGTAGCTGTGGACTGCGGCGGTTTTTCACCAGTCTGTATTCACTGCCATCTTTCCTGTTTCTTCTTGGGGCTGCCTCATTGCTGCCCTCCCTGAAACGGGCAGAGCCGGAGTCAAAATCCCTTCAGTTTGGATCAAAAGATGAGTAAGACACTCTTTTTGTTTAGCTTGGCTGATTTGGTAATTAACAAAGCCAAAACCAAATTTGTATTTAAGTTTGGGGTAACTGGGTAACTTAACCTGGGTAATTTGAATCTCGAGACAACTACTTTATACCTTTTTGGATCATTCAGATTTACATTAATGAACAGGACTAAAGCCCAAATATAACTTTATTATTTAATTACATATATTTTTCTGAGCTGCTTTTACTTCAGTTGTTGCTTCCAGGGGATTTGCAAGACAAATGCTAAAACCATACAAAAATAAGGACGAGACCTCTGTATGCTCAAAAACGTTTCTATTCTTAAACCTACATGTTATTGGAGTTCTGTTGGGCCTCAGCGAGCCGTAGTTTCTTGGCGTGGTTCTTGCCCTGGTAGTGGGCCTGTGCAACTGCCAGTGAACTGAAGGAGGCGTCACACAGCTTACAATAGTCATTCTCTGTGGCCAAGATGACCCGGGTCGCCCCCTTATACTGCGCCTGAAAACACAGGACAAAGCAGTGCAGTGTAAATGGTGAGAGGAGTTCGGGAGTAAACCGTGTGAAAGAGAAGAAATACATTTTTGGGTCCGGTGGGAGGAAGAGAAGAATTTCTTGCACAGCTTCTTAAAACTGTAAAATATACAATGATGAAAGCTGTCAAATCATGATATAAATCACATGCATGTCAATAATCATGTTGTTAGTTAATGAGGATAAGATAAGAAGATGAAAACCTTTAACACTTGCAGGTTATTTATTTTCCTTTTCTTTTTTCTAAGGCTTATTAGGTAACTTTCAGTCATGCAAATAGAATTGCAGGTACAAATACAATAAAACTGTTATTTGCTCTTATGTTAATTAATGCTTTCGTTCAAAGTGAACAACAATGACAGGAACACGCATAGTAGTAATGCTTCAACAACATGGAAAACCTGCAATAACTGATCTTTTTCTGGCCACTTGGGGGCAGCGGACACAAGTTCGGAATACAACATTCACATGTCATCATCACCTTTGGAGTTGATATGGCAAACATTGGCTAATTTACACATTCAGCAGTTATGGAGAAACATTATCATACATTTAGAGTTGTGTTTCTGGCTGTCTGAGGTAAGTCCACATTAACACTCCTTTTAGCTCTGTTTTTTGTCTGCCCCAACTCCTGAGGCTCTTTAGGTGCTAAATACGCCAATATGTTCACCAGCTAGTCTCTAACTTTGTCTGCCTGCTGCTTGGTGATGAGCACTGCTGCCTGCAATGGATAAAAACTACACTAAGTGAGCTGAAACTCACTATAAAGTTCTGTAAAGCCGAGCGGAGCTGCTGATTCAGATGATGAATCTCTGTAGGTTCATCCCTACAAGGGACCTCTTTCACATTGTCATTGTTGTTACATTGTCATCTCATACACAAATATATTGATTACAGCCACATTTAAGTCTAAGAAAATGTAACATTACAACAAAAATGTATGACATTATAATTGAATTTAACGAGTAAATTGTTCAGTGTTGAGCGGATGATGTGAGATTTCACTGAGTGGAGCAGAGTGACTCAGCAAGTTATTACCGCCTCCTCAGAGGGAAACTACCTCTCTCTGCAGACCAGCCCCTCAACTAAAACTGTAACATTTACGTAGGTTGGTGTGCGTTGGTCAGTTTGTATCTGACCTGCCTGCCTGCGTCACTGTCGTTTGATCCTGAGCAGAGAGATGTCTGGCCAGTCGCCTCGAGGACTTCTGGGATCCTGATGGCTGGAGGCTGTTGACTGCCAGCGTAGAAATTTCTTAGCTTTTTACTGTGGTTCTTCCCCTAGACAGACAAATCAGGAGAATTTTGTGTTTATGTATGTATCTTAATATTTTACATGTTTTGTACATGTGCGTTTCAACTGACCTGGTAGTGAGCCTGTGCCTGCTGAGCAGAGTTGAGGGTAACGTTGCAGAGTTTACAGTACAGTGGTTTACACAGTTCCCCCAACCCCGGAGAGTCTTCCTGCTCCTCCATCCCCAGCAGAGAGCCCTCATCCTGCGGCTGCTCACTGGCTGGGGCTGCCTGTCCCGGGAGAGGACCGGGGATGAGGCAGGAAATCGGGGCTGGGATGAGGGTCGGTCTTGGGAGCATTGGGGGCAGGTGTGAAGGGTCTGGGCCCGGAGCAGGAGGGGAGGACATGGGGCTGGGCGGGAGGGGGAATCGGCCGACTCTAGGTGGGGGTACCAGTGATTGTGCAGGGTTCAGAGGTGGAGGCCCCAACGGTTGTATGAGGTCCATGGGGAGAGGCACTATTGCTTGTGTGTGATCTACAGGTGGGGGACCCAAGGTGTGTGCCATTGGTGGAGGACCCAGTGGCTGACCTGGGGCCATCGAAGGGGGTCCTAAGCTGTGTGGGGGAGTAACGGGAGGATGTCTTAACGTGTGAGTAGCAGGCATGTGAAGAGGGCCTAGAGTCTGGGTTGAAACCAATGTCGGGGGTCCAATTGCCTGAGCAGGGGCAAGGGGTGGTGGGCCAAGAGGCTGCGTAGGCGCCATTGGCGGAGGTCCCAGCTGGTGCAGAGAGTCCATGTGGTGGAAAGGCTGCTGGGGATGGCTGAAGAGACTCAGAGGAGGCTTCAACATGGTCCCTGGACCTGTGGACAACAGAGGCATTTACATTACATTCAGAAATGGGCAGATATTACAAATCAAAGAGATTTCTTACAAGGAAATTCAGTAACCTTGATGAGGACGGCAATGTTGCATTGACATGCGTACTCCTATTGTCAAGAGAACTAGAAAGCATTCCGACAGTTCATGCAATAATAGAACATATTTTGAAGTTTTTAGCCATCCCAGGTTTGGTTGGCTCGACTGCCACTTTGGTCCTGATTGAAATATCTTAACAACTATTGGATGGATTGTCATGAGATTTTGTATTTTTCCTAATCCTAATGTCTAATCTGGTGCCCCCAGCACAGCAAAATTACAATTTATCCAGTTAAATATCTCAATAGCTACCACAGAATTGGGCACAGACATTCATGGTTCCCAGATAATGTATTTGAATATCTCTGGTGATCCCCTGGCTTTTACTCTGGCACCACCAACAGGTTGAAATTTGTGCTTTTGAGTAAAACGTCTAAACAAATATTGGATGGATTACAATGAATTTTGGTTCAGACATTCAAGTTCCCCTCATGATGAATTGTAGTAACTTTTTTTCAGCGTCAACCTTTTATCTGTGACCGTTTATGGCCAAATACCTGCAAAACTAAAGACAATCTGTTTTATATTTGGCACCAAACAGACACTGAGCCGACATTGCATATCTTTACACTAAATTTCATTGAAATCTGTAAATATGTTTTTACTGACAAATAGACTAAAACAGATATAACATAAAGAAAATATCACTTCCTGGCAATGATAAATATTTGCTTTGCATTGGATTGGACTACTAGGTGGATATCGCCTATTGACAGCTCATCAAAAGAACATTGAGATGGAACTCGGCAGCGAAATTTAATAACCGATGTACAGTGACATTAAGAGAAGAAACATCTTTTTTTCTCTGAGCCCTGAGGCAGGAGAGATGTAAAGAGATGGGCGAATGGAAACACGTTCTCGGACAGAGAAGCTTCACACTCCAGTGGGCATCAGAAAGATTAGGCTGAGCCTGCAGCGCCTGCAGTCATGCATACGGGACATTACATGCACATTCCTGTGCACACACACAAACAGGGACAGTGGCAATAAAAAATCCTCACGCTTCTCTGATCAGAAGAGATCTCAGCCTGATGTGGTGTGTGTGTGTGTGTGTGTGTGTGTGTGTGTGTGTGTGTGTGTGTGTCTGTGTGTGTGTGTGTACGTAGTAGGCATGAGGGTGTACGTATAAAGAAAACAAGAAACAGAGCATTATATTAGGGAAAGCAATGGGCTGATTTGTATGTATGTTCATTTGTGCCGCTCTATTGCTCCATTTTCTGTGTGTGTGTATGTGTGTGTCTATAGCCACATATATTGTCAGGTCAGTAATAGGCCAACAGCTGTGTCAAAACTTACTGTGCTGGAAGGTTTTATGTGGGATCAAATTGGACGCTCAATGGCAGTGATTCATAGACTCAAAATAACATCCCGAGGTGTTTGTGTTTCCAACTGCAGTTCGCTGTCAAATCGGTCCGTCCAGTCAGTCTGGCTGCCTGTCTGTCACCTAGCCTGCCTGACCTCAGGAGAAAGGTATGCTGGACAACGCACTGACCTTGCTAAGGTCCTGTCAACTGAGAGATTTTGTCAGGCTGGATGAGTTGCCTGCACATTAATAAAGTAATATTATGCAGCCGCTGCATACACTAAATGAAATCAGTTTCACGATTGGCATTGAGAGTTTTGTTTTGTAATATCATCCTTATTAAAGCTTTCACATTTGCTGTTTTGGGGAGCTTTTCACAAGGAGACGTTCTTTGGCATCCGGCAGAAGCAAACAGCGATTTATTTGTGATAAACATCAAAAGAAGTTTGAATTGGCCCTTGTGAGTGGACAGTCTAAGAAAAGCATCTCTAACTTTAAGCTTCATTAACAGAAGAGTCAAAGAGAAAGAAGTCTCAGACACACTTAAAGTGCATTGCAGAAACATCCTTTGACAGCTTTAGAATCAACGATGAGGCAAAACAGGAAAAACGTGGTTTTAATGTTACAATACATACAAAATTTAAATAAATGGACATACTATAGCCATTAAAAGGTTAAAAGAAGGCCCAAAAGGTATTGCATTAGGACAAGTTTTGAGAATTTTGGGCTTCAAATATGCATACATATTCACAATTTTCATTGAATGAGACCACCATGTTGTTGAATTAGACACCTCCTCAATGCTCAACAATCACTATTAACGCCAGCCAGAACCAGATCCACCAATCAACTTCCACATACTGCACATTATCAATCTAACCAGCAGAAATCTCATGACAACCCTTCAACCCTGATTGAGACCGCCTGCACAGCAGTCCTCAGAAACCTCACCGCAGCAGCAATTATGAGCACAAAGAGCGTCTGAACCTTTTTGCTTGATATCATCCATTAAGCAGTCAGGAGTACGCATTGTGCTACTACAAAAGAGATGACTAACATAACATGACTAACATGCATTTACTGCACATCACTTAAGGTAAACTTGAAGATGTTTCTGTCAACTGTGTTCCCAACACTGCCTCCCCACGTCCTAAACTCTTGCTGATGTTAGCTTGTGTAAAACTACTTTGCATCATGATTTCATGTAGCAATTCAGGCCCACAAAGTGCATTCTACAGAGCTGCAGCACATATGCATGTGCACAGCAGTGGACCTTGCTGCAAAGTCAAAGACAAAAAATGAACAACAATCAACTTTGCAAGTCAAAATCAGGTTTCTGTAATATTCTCTGAAGCAGAAGGCAGCAAGTGATCAGTAGGTTGACAACACATCATATTTGTGGAGCGATATTGTTCTCATAGTCTCAAAAGAATCAGCCAGAGTTGGAAAAAAAGTAAACTACCTCAGAAGTTATTTATTAATTCATCACTTGTCAGATATTGGTGTTTAGTCAGATTGACTAAACATTTCTTGGTTTTAGAACCACGCCACAAAAAAACTCCTGTCCTGGAGTCTTAATATCATGGCCTCCATCGAGAATCTCTAAATAGGCCAAGTCTTTATTTTCTCTAGAGTTTTCTCTCGCTGTACTGTCTTGTGTCACATCAATTATGGAGCAATGAGAAGCACATGCCTCCTGCACTTATTCCATCTGCTTCACTGGGCCCCAGTCAACCGCAGAAAGCAGCAACATGCATCTCACTGTACTTTGCAATTTACTTACTGTACCTTTACAATAAAGCCGACCTTCCACTTTTATATCTCAGTAGCACCACATGTTTGAATGTCTTTCATAATAATTGAAATTGAAGTGAGTGGTATACTCATGTAAAGACTCTGAGCACCAGTCACCTAGTCATCTAAATACTGACAAAAGCCTATCACAACCAGAGGCCAACATGTTTATTTTGGCTGAAAATAAGTTATAAAATCCAGTGGTATTCAATTGGTAATGATATAAAACAGAGAAAGGCAACCACATCCTCAGATTTGATTAATTAAGTTAATTAATGTTTTGTACTTTTACATGACGTAAATGATTGATAGTTTACCAAATTTGTCACAAAAAAAGTCCACCTTAATCATATGTTTCGGCACTATATACATTTGACAATGACTTCCACTAACTTCAATCTGAGCCGTTATGCAGTCTATGCAATGATGATGGTAGTTTAATGGCAGGGATATTGGATGGATTGATCAGTCTCATGCTGTAAATCTGGATCATCTGTGTGGCTACATGACCAGTATGACACATGCTGGCCTCAAGTCCTTAAAAAAAAAAACCCACAGGAACGCCTGTGTTATCACCGACTGTGCAGGTGCAACGAAGGAACTCTCGCTGTGCAATTGCCACATGTCACCATCATCATCCGTGCAGATCAAGCAATGCAGTGAAGGAGCAGGAGCGATTCAGTCTCTATTTATATACCTGCTCTGACAACCACTTGATTGATTGCCATACCTCGAGAGATGAAAGTGAACATTGCACTGAGGCCATTCACTGTTTCAAATTACAGTCAGACATCAGCACAGACCTGGAGTCTCTCTTACAGTACAAGAGATCACTCGGGTATCTCGAAAACAAGCAGATTTTGCATCGCAGCATTAATGCTCTATAAGCTAAACAGAATGATGGCTGGTGCGACCCTCTACGTGACATTATGATGATGACAGCATCACCAGGGCAGCCGGTTTCAACATCCACCTTCCTCATCTGGAAATGTCTCTGGCTAGATTTTCTCCATCCCAGCACATTAGCGCAAAAGACTGCTGACAGTATAGGCAAGCCTCTCCTTACCTGGTAAACGGGCAAGGTAATGCCTGCTGTCACCGTAGCTGACAGGCGGCGAGGTGTAATGTCTGCAGTAATCCGCACTCTGGTAGTACGCTGCATCCCCGTTCTTCAGCTGCAGCGCCATCATCGCAGTCACATCCCTTTGCCAACTTCTTCTCTCCAAAAAAAACGGGCGACCAAGGCAGGATGGCAGTCGCTACCACACGCTCAGACACAGGCTCACACCGGAGGGGGTCACTCAAAGAGGAGAGCGAAATACAGAAAGCGTCAGGCAGCAACAATGCATGTTAAATGCACAGCATGCAAACACGGTGCGTTTCCCCCTTCTCGTTAAACGTCGACAAATTGAGATTTGTAAAGACAAAGACCCTTGCCGAGGATCTTCCAGCGCCCCCCCCCCCCTCTCCTTTTTGGTACAGTCCATTTCCGATGGCACCGCTGCTGATTTGCATGGGTGGCAATCATGACACATTGTATAAATATGTTACACCTCTGGTGCACCCTGATCACCCGTGCTTGTCTATTTATGAGTGTCAAATCTGCAGGGAAAAAAAGCCGGGGTGGTGTTACTACTAGTTGTCAAGAAGAAATGTAACCTGGGGAAATGGGATAACATATTGAAAACTACATGCAATAAGTAAGAATAAGTATTCTTATTATTAGATAGTAATAATAACAACACCAACAATGATATAAGTATGTTTATTGTTATTATTCGTATTGTTGTTAGTAGTATTACTAACTTATTTGATCGTATTATTGCCTACTACACTATTATTACTTTTTTGTAATATTTGCTGTCACTATTATTACTGTGAGCCATAAAACCATAATATGCTAGTGTGTTGGCTTTGAGTTAAGATGTTCTTTCTCACCTACATATGTATACATGTTAATGTATTGTTATTATTATAGTGTGTGTATGTTTATATTTTCCCTATCTGGATATACTGTATATATCTGCTATATATTTTCATCTTTATATGTTTGTTATGTTTTGGCGGTTATTGTTATTATATTATTCATAATATGTATAGTGCATACAGCAGAATGATTTAGAAGTCACTGCACTACCCCCCAACTAAGAATGCAGGGTTTAAATGTCATTTTTTATTTATCTCATTTAAATTGTCGTATTTCTCTTTCCATAACTCTACAGCCTGTCTTTGCGCTGCTAAAAAGTGTAAAATCCTCAATGTCTTATCCTATCTTATCAAATTGTGGGCTGCTGTGCGAGAACAATTAGGTGTCACGCCCACTCACCCAGGATCACTCTTTGGTATCATTTTGTTTGTGTACTGTGATGATAGGATAGTGGGATCCTGTTGTAACTTCTGAATTTAAAAATATTTGTATGGTTTGAATGATAACTGAGGCGGCATTGTTTTACCACTGATACATCACACCCAGCTTCTCTGTGTATACGAGTGTGTTTGTGTGTGAGAGGACGGGAGGAGGGCCCCGGACACACAGCGTGGCTGCAAGTGCCGCAGCAAGACAACTCGTCCAGTCGACCAGCAGTTCAGCTGCTCACACCATCCTCATCCTGAGCCCGTCTGACTGGACACTTTGGACATATATGTATGCAACTGCACGCGTTACCAACCCACAGCGCGAGAGGATTCATTGTCGGTGTGGAGTAACGGTTACTGTCACGTGAAGCGGACACAGCGGCTGACAGACGGAACATAACAAGTCTGCTTTACCCGGCGCCGGGAGCCACCAACCCGGCCGGAGGGGACCGATGGGGCTGGCTGGATGAAATGCTAGCTAACTAGCATTAGCCTCTCAGACCAGCATCCTCACCACTGACGCCAACTCAACAGGGTGAGCTACCAATGCTAGAGTCACATTTGTAACCTTTAAATAGACAAATGGTTTAGGTTAATGCTTAGAATATATTTACCAACAAGATGATGACAGGCTCAGCGTAAGCGGTTAGCTAACGTTTATAAACAAGAGAGCTAGCTAACGTTAACCATTTACAAACTGGTGTGCGTTAATTTAGTCGGAAGAGTTGTGGTAAGCCGACATGTATAGAGTAAACTAATGTCATTGTTATGCTATATATATATAACATTAAGCTATACATATTCATATCATCGTCGCTGTCACCTGTGAGCTGTCATCCACAAACACACAATCTTAGCCAGTCTGCTACTAGCAAGTGTGACTCCTCTGTAGGTGCAGAGAATGTGTGATGTTGTTTGTGGTTTTTGTTTCCTCTACTCCAAACACATGCTTCTGTGACAGCGTGAAGATGGACTGAAACATGAAATGTGGAACTGTCCCATCATCGACATAGGAGGGCTTCTCTCTTAGGTATGCTCATCAAATTCCTCTCTTCTGTTGACAGTCCAGCAAAAAGGCATTTTACAGTTAGTGCTTACTTCTTTCTTGTAGCCATCAGTTGAAACTGCAAAGCTAATTTAATAGACAATATCAAATAGAAAATCGAGAATGTGTTCATATGTTGATCGTGTTTTCTAAACCTTCTTATAACTACGGATACATGATGTGTTGCAGAGACTGAGCATGGGTTTGATCTTGCCAACCAGCCACTGCTAGTCTACACAACTAGCTAATGCTATTTGTACATTTGTGTTTCAGTATTCAAAGCAAGCTTGTGTCTCTAGGCCAATGTTTCCCCATTCCCCACATCCTGTGTTGTGAGGAAACTTCCTCTTTTGTCCTAAAGTGCTTAGCTGCATCCTGATCAGGGTCGCAGATCTCAGAACTGCTCAATGGGTTGTTTGTTTTAACTCCGTGTTTCCCGTTGTAGCTTGTTTTTGTACGTCACCCTTCTTTGTATGAATTTTTTGTTGTTTTCCTTTATGGTTATCACTTTCATGCATCTTTGTGTCAGTCACAACTTTAAACTTAAACTCGGTGGACACTTTTTCTGTCAGTTAAAGGATCTATGTCTAAATTGCAGCTCGTACATCATGTAGCCATCCACCCATCCGGCCCCTAGATGCTTAACCTGGTAAGTTTTGTATTTGTAACAACAAAAGTAGAGCAGCCCAGGCAGCCTTCTCCTTAGCAGCCTCCACCATCTGATCGTCAGACTAAATTACCTTTTTTTTTTTGTAATTCGATCAAGAAAATATGCAGAATTCAGAGTTTTTATTTCTGTGTGCCCCTTCAGACAACCATATGTTTAGATTGTTGCTATTTTTGTCGCCATTGTTCTGGCTCTGGCACAAGAAGTTGATCTTAATCACGGCTACAAAAGCACCGATAGACTTGGTTGTTTTTCCAACCAGGAAAATAGCACAACACCATACCTACTTGAATTACTGTAAAACTGTGAGATGTGGGTGGTGATTCAGAAGAAAATGTGCTCCAAAGCCAGCAAGTATATTTAAACCTACCGGTATACCATTTATACACCATATGGTGCCCTGTCACTTAAATCAAACCCCTTAAGCATTGTCAATGTCTGGTGCATGAGGGCATCTTGCCAGGTGCCTTTACCCTTGCATCTGATCTGGGACCCGGGGGCCATGTTGTTTGGTGAACTAGACTCATAGATTATGAAAGTAATATTGTAAAATGAGACAAGATATCATGTGGGATTTTGATTATTTTATTGATAGATCTCAGTTGTAGTTCTTAGGCGATTCACTTACCCTAACTTATCTGAGTCCTGTGTGAAATGAAAAGTAAAGGTTCCTACCTGCTTGGCCACTATATCCTTATGCCATTTACTAGTTTTTATTTTCTCACTGAACGTGCCAACTAACCCTTGTTGAAAAGGTCAAATATTGTTCAAATGCACCAGTAGTTTCTTAATCCGAATTGGTTAATGTTAGAAAAATTCACTCGAGCCGATGTAAAAATCATTAATCACAGGACATTTATTCTTGCAAGAAGGAGACAGAGTTGATTCACATACAGAATGTACATCAAGGCTGCTCGAAGATCTGTCTCCGAGCCTCTGGTATTTATACTAAGTAAACAACATGCAATGGGCTGGCACAGGGTAATTTACGTCACAAAGGATAACATATGAATTGCGTTTCACACAGGTGTCTACGTTCGCAAATCAGCCCTGCATAGGTATTGACGCCTCTACAGGTTTATTATGGCTTATTTAGAGTAAACAGCTTGAAATGTTCTTTCGGCCGTCAACTGCTTCTTAACAGACGAAACATTTGCTGAGACTGGTGTTACAGAAAGTTCACACGAAACCATTTGAAGACACACCTCTAAACACTTACAGAGGACATGAGCTTATGTTAAATGTGTAACATTCACTAATTATTGATGCACAATAATTAGTCATTTAGATTTTTCCCCAACAGTTAAGTAGTGCTAGAAGTGTAGTTTATTGATTCAGTATTCAGTTATGAGTTCTTTAAGGATTTCAATTTGTTATCTTCAGTATAGTTTGCCTTTTTTCCTATATGAGTGCATTTATAATGTTGTAATAGGGACCTAGTGAATGTGAGGAAACACAAGAAAGTACATGCCAGTACAGGGCTGTTTTCAGGGTGTGTGTTTTGTCTTCTAGATTATTAGAAGTGACTATTTTTGCTCAAAATATCTTGTTGTGCTTCAGGTGTAAAGCTAATATAGTGTAGACAGCTAATACAATTCAGACAAGAGTATAGCTACCACAATTGCAAGAACTTATGCTGAAGAAGAAGGGCAACAAAACATTAATGTTGTGAACGGAATGGATATTGGCCTGATGAATGATGATTTTAATAACTTGGTTTTCTTCGCACCCTGATTTCTGAGAGTTGTTTACTGACCTAAATTGGCTTAAGGTTAGTGGTTTTTCTAAGAGCCCTGCCCACACAAACACATACTTTCCCATAACTGTGTCACAATCTGGTGCAGTTGAGTCACTGTGTTGTTTTTGTTGGACATAAGCAGACTGTCTAAAATTCTTGTGTCAATGAAGTCCCACGAGACCCAGCTATTTCCCAGTACTCCGTGAAAGAGAATTGAATGAGCTAATGTTGACTGTTGGAAGCAAGGAAGCACTTTGACTTATCGTGGATCATTTTTATTTGTGAGAAATTGTGTTCACAAATTAAACTACAGACCATCTTGATATGACTTGATTAGAATTTAACAATGATTTATTCTACATGCATAAAATATGAATAGTGCAAAGTCTTTGGCAAATGGACTCCATCCTGAAGTAATATCACCGAGGGTAGGGATGCTGAGGTCCGATAAGGCCTAATCCTGGCCTGGAGTCCAGACACTGGTGGTGGTGGTGATGAAAGGAGTCGCTGCAATCTGATGATGAATGAGGAGCATGACTGTGATGCTGACTGGAGGTGACTGGGGTGGAGGAGGGTTGCATCTGCGTAGAGCTGAAATGACAACTGACAGCAGCAGAGAGGTCACTTTTTAAAGTTTGACAGCTACGAAGTGATTGGCTTCCAGGAAACTGTGCAGAATCTTAACTTAAATTGAACGCCCACAATCAGCTGATAGAGTAATCACAGGGAGAGAGAGAGATTATGAATGGAAAGAAGAGTAAAGATCTTAAGCTTCAGTTAATTGTTCAGTGTGACGGGAGTGTAAGGGTAAACTTATTGCTTTCATTTCAGTTGAAAAGTGCCTCTGACTGTAGATGTTTCACATCACTTTAACTTTGAGGACAAGTAGAGATGACTTCCAGCCCGCTCTTTAGTTTTACTCATGCATGGACATGCATGCACGTCTAAGCATTTTTGAAGACATGCATTATGGCTTTCTGTGATCACCCACTTAATAGATGAGTAAAGTTTCTGATGACTTTTGATGTGCACCAATTGGCTCACCTTGAAAGTGCAGCACATGCACCTTTGGACAATGTGTGTCAGTTGGTAAGCCCTGTTTCTGACTTAGTTACTATACAAACAACACTCTTAGTCTGAACAAAGCATCAACTTAACTGTATTTAACAAACAAACTGCACCTCAGTTTTCTTGTTTTACATTAAGTATCACCACTGAGGCTTAAGTTCAAAAGGCCTCAGCCTGTGCTTTACACAATGAGGTTTCAGAACGTTCTTGAAAGTGTTGTTGCTTTTCAGGTTGTGCTCGACAGCTTAACTGTGTGACTGAGCTCGGAGACAGAGAGGAAGATGCCTCCCAGGCCGTCCTCGGGAGAGCTATGGGGCATCCACTTGATGCCTCCCAGGTATGACCCACTTGATGAATATTGTGGATAAGTGCATTATTTAATTTGTTTTGAGTACATATGCCTTGACAATTATTAGCCTGATGTAATTTCATGTTATAGCAAATAAAAAAGTCTAGAAAAATACACATGCAATGTATGTATTATATATAT